ATGTGTAATAATTTCTCCTCGTAGTATATAAATGTATATTAACTATAGATACAGAAAAAGGAAATAATAGTGATATTATGGGGAATACCTATGATCAGTTTTATTCAGCAACATGGAAAACAACCACTATACTCTTGGTATTTCTTTCCTAGATAGTAAATCAGACTAAATGCTTCCTCAGTTGAACCCATTTTATGTTTTTCTCTCTCTTTCCTCTGTTGAAATCACTAATGAATATATCAACATTACTAAAACAGGGAGACCCACAGACCATATAGGTGTTTTTCCATAACTTAATAATTGACTTCTGAATAACTAACTTGAGTACTGACTTGTTAATGGGAAGGTCGGTCGCAGTCAATCCCACTCTTTTTGCTCTCAGCCCTGCATAATTAGGGTCTCCGTTTTGTAAACTGCTAAAGGCCTGTGTGTATTACTTGGCCCCGGCCTACTTTTTCAACCGGCCATCACGTTTACCACCTTCCTTCAGCAAACGCCTCATGCTTTGACTCCCGGTTTTCTCCTGGGGATGTTGTTGCCCTTTTGGAACTGAGCCACCTTGCTCCCTCTGCTTGCAGCATCCTCCCATACCGTGCAGACCTTCACCTGTAGGCCTCTAGACGGCATCACATACTTCTCTTAGACCTTTACCTAGACGGCCCCTGTCCAACAGAACTGTCCAGCAGTGGAAATGCCCTATCTCTCCAGTGCTCAATTCAGTAGCCAAGCCATATGTGGCTGTTTAGCACTTGAAATGTATGCTGGCCTGACTAAGGAGCTGGATATTTAATTTTAATTTTATTTTAACCACCTGTCCAAATTTCATATTGGACAGAGCAACTGTAGGCCAACTCCCCATATGGAAGGAACTCTTCCCTCTTTACAAACTTTCCATTCAGAAGTAATTCTTCTCTTCATGATCCCATCATATATATCATATATATGCCCGTGTATGTCTATACACACACACATATATCTCTCTAATACTTAATACGTACCATATTTTGTTTCTTACCCACTTTAGATTGCTTTCAGTTTAACTTTTTGAGTAGATGATGGAGTCACACAGTTTAAAGGTCACTAAACATAAAAAGTAATGTAATAAAAAAGTCTGTGACTCCATCCTGTATTTTCTTTCTTCCTTCATCCTCAGAGGTAATCATTGTTACTGGTTTCTTGAGAATCTTCCTCAGTGTCTTTATGCTTATGCTAATGGATTATTCTCCCTCTCCATTTTTTTTTAAATAGTGCGCCATGCATGCTGTTACACACATTGCTCTTTCAGCTTAGTATGTCTCAGAGCCTTTTCCATTTGCATATGTAGCTTCTTTATTTTCATATGTAGCTTCTTCATACTTTTGGTTTTAGCTTTACAGTGCTCCATGGTATAGATGTTCCATAATTATTAAACTGTTTTGCTGTTGATGGACAAGGTAGACATTTCCAGTCTTTTGCTAACACACACTATCCTGCCATGAATAATTTTATCTTTTTCTTATGTGTAATTCTTGTAGGATAAATTCATTCTTTCTCTACTTTCATTTCTAGGATGGGGATTGTGGGAGGACAGGTTCATGTTTTATTCATCTCCGTGTCTAGTGTCTGTCATCGTACCTGATACATGATGGGAAGGGAGAACACACACAACCACTCACCCCACTCCTGTATATGACAGGTGGCAAGGCTTGGGTCTGCAGTCCTTGGCAATGAAATAAACTCTTCCCTCTTTGAAACTCGTTGACTCAGCCTGAGGCTAAATTTAAATTCCACTCATCTAGTCTACACATAAATGTATAGGTATGTAATATTAAAATCTGGGTGAAATTCACAGCTATTACTACAAAATCTACTACATTTTTTTTGATACTGATTTTATAGAATTCTTACCTAGAGAATGTAAGTTTACACACTGAACTCCTCTTTTTCTCAAAAATTATTTGTCTGTAGCCCAGTCTTCTGGATGGGTGCTGTGAATGGGTAGCTCAGGGCGGGTAACTCACCTCAGGGTATTGGAAAGTTACCCTTACAGGCCCTGGCTGGATAGCTCGGTTGGGTAGAGTGTTGTCCAGATAACACCCAGGTTGTGAATTCGATCCTGGGTCAGGACGCATGCAAGAGTCATCCAATGAATCCCTGAATAAGTGGAACAGCGAATCGGTGTTTGTCTCACTCTTCTTCCTTCTGTCTCCCTAAAATCAATCTATAAAAGATTTTTAAAAGAAAGTTTACCTTTATAGACAGGTTGGCTAGACTATGGCAACAAATACCCCCCAAACACATAATAGCTTAACACAATTCAAGTTTGTTTCTTTTGTTCCCCCAAGTTCCTCTTTTAAATTTTTTTTAACTTTTTAAAAATTGTTGTTCAAGTACAGTTATCTCCATTCCACGTTTGTTTCTTGATCACCTAATTTTTCCAGACAGGTGTCCTCCACAGTGTTATTCAGGAACCCGGCTCTTTCCATCTGGTAGCTGTACCTTCCTCTCTTTACCATCACTCACCTCCAGCCACTGGCAGCAAAAAGAAATGGAGGAGTGTTCATGGGCAGTTTTGTGAACCTGGCTTGAAGTGCCACATTTATCTTCTCATGTTCTTTAGGCTAGAACTCAGTGATAAGATCATACCCAACTGCAAGGAAGCCTGAGAAGTTTACTTTAATTGTGTACTGGAGAAGAAAAAGGAATTTTTATGAAGAGCTAACAATTTCTGCCATGGTCTGCTCTCTTGACAACCAAATGTCTCGTATACCATAGGATTTTTAAAAAATTGTCTCCGTGGTGAAATGATCCTTCCCAGTTCTCTTTCCCTAGTAACATGATGTAAGTGGAAGGTCAGCTGTTTTACTAGGAAACACTGCTTATGGTGAGAGTGGTTGCTGGTTGGAAAACTGCATGTGAACTGGGAGTGAACTCCAAGTGCTGTTAGCCCGTAGCTTTGGGCTTGCCTGAGTGTGATGTGATACTTGTAAAGGCACATGCCTCTCTCTAGTGATTATGAAGTTGCATTTGTGGGACTGTTATGGGATACTGCTTCCTGCGTGGAGCTTAGGACAGCTAAGTCAGGGTGGCTCCATTCGGGTAGCTAGAGAAGAGTCCTTGGAGAGTTTTAATGTCTCCCACGAGTATGCTGCCTGGCTGGCTCACTTTCTTCCTTCTGGAGTCTGCGCGCACCGGTATTAGCATGGCTGTATTGAGTTTTGTGAATGTGATTGTCTAGTTTCTATGAAGACCAGCAGGGATGAGTATTGCAGAACCCTGCTTCCTACACACTGAACACACTCACCTCTGCCCCCAAGCAGGTAAGCAGGATCCTGTTCAGAGTGGGATCTCCACATGATTGGCAGTTTTCTGTCAGATCTGCGTGTGGGCACTTGTGGTACAGATTGCTGTAAACTAGAAAGGATGAATGAATTGCCGTTGCCCCCTCCCCCCCCCACATCCACTGAGGCAGAGCAGGGACAGGCTATCCACCATAAAAACCCTTTTGGTAAAGGAAAAAGTGGGAACATATAGCAATTATTGGTCCTTAGTTTTGAGAATCCCCTGGGGAGGTGTGCCTCTTCCCTGCCCCAGTAGCACAAGAAATCCATTTGTTATGTTAAGTGTTTTTCATGTGGTATCTGGTGCATACCTACACTAAAACAACTTTTTGTTTATCTAGAATTCAAATTTAATTGGGTGACCTGGAGTTTTACTTGCTAAATCTTGCAGCCTTAATTGCAGGGTGCAGAGCTTCAAAGGCTTTTCTTTTCATGCAGCCTGTGGTTTCTTTGGCAGTGCAATTTCTTTAAAAATGACTTGTATGACTACAATTTGGTCGCTTCTAATTAATTCTGTGGGCCAGGTTCCCCAATCAGTGTTCTTTCCTAGACATAGGTTTTAGATGCCTTTATTTAATACTATCTCACCTGTGTTCCTCTCCCTCAAATTAATGTTCACTACCTAGAGGCCATTTGCCAGAGTGAGTGTGGGTAGGAAGGCAGTACCCTTAATCCGATCTTCGCTTCAAGGCTGAGTTTGTTTAACAGGAGTTTTACTGGGCTTTGTTCCTCTAAGCTTTTTCCTGCTTATGTCTACAGTTTGGGGTCTAAAAACAGTTGGCTTTTCTAACGCTTTGAATTCTATGTCTTGTAATCTCTGCTTGAACACCAGCTAGTTCTTTTCCTGAATCCATCTCTTTCTTATACTCCTTGCTGAGTGCATCAGACTAACAGTAGCACCTCTAACAGTAGCGCCTATTAACAGTCGACTTTTCTAATCTCTTCCCCAAGAACCTGTAGGTTTGGGAGGTCTTGGGGCTATTTTCCAAGTCATTGCAGTTTTACCATGTGTTTGCCAAGGCATAAGAGGGCTTTAAACATTCCATGTCTGTTTTGTTACTTCCTGAGGGGTGACACCGAGGCTAACCTCCCAGGGAATCCGTTTCGTGTGTATGAGTGCGGTAGCAACATCTGATGGCTCAGCACCATAGGATTTTATTTTTTCCCACGTAATGGTCCTGAGTGGAGTTTTAGGTTAGCATAACGGCTTTCTTCTAGATGTTTGCCCCCAGGGGCCCAGACTTCCTTTTATAGGGCTCTGACCTCCCATGGGTTCACCAGCAGTAGGAGGAAGACCATAGAGGGGAATTCGTGGGCGGGGTTTATGGATCAGTCACTTCTGTTTACTTCTCATTAGTTTAGAAATCAGTCTCATGCCATGTTTGGTTGCAAGGGAGCATGAGACATACAGTCTAGCTGTGTGCAGGGAAAAGAATGGATTTGGGTGGATAGCTCCACTCGGGACCCCAGTTATTGCTGTCCAGGAAAAGTGAACCATTAATAGATTGGCTCTTTGTGCTGCAAAGGTCAGTGATCAGGTTTTCTAGTCAGTTTGTTTGTGTTATGATGAATCTGTGTTTGTTTTTTGTTTTCAAATTTCTCTTGTAAAAAAAAAAACCCCAAACAATGCTACTAAATATTTTTGTATGAATGTGTTCTCTTCTTTTTTTCTTCTTCCAGTCAACAAAGCGGAATATCCCGATGCTCTTTGTCCGGGGAGATGGAGTTGTGCTGGTTGCGCCTCCGTTGAGAGTTGGCTGAAACAAAGAATTTATCCTGTGTGGAAATCAGGAGACTTTGTATGATCGTATCTTTAAGTGTAGAAGAAAGATATTCAAAAGAGAAACCTGCGTAAATTTAGATGTTGAGAAATGACCAAGGATTCTTCCGCTCCTGAAATGAGTTGGTTTTCACATGACCTACAAATTCTTAAGCTAAATGGCATTTTTATTTTTGTCTAATCCTTCCAATAAATGTGATCACCAAGATGCAGCCCCTCTTTTTGGGGAGTTGATTTGCTCCATTGATTTTTTTTCAGACAATTTCTGATATTTTTAAATTTAAATTAAATTTGATGCTTTCTTTTTTTTTTAATGCAGTCTCCTGTCTTGTGAATTCTTCAAGCACACGTCTTACATTCACTTTACCTGTACACACACAGTATGTACCAACTGTGTGCAGTGCACCAGGTTGAGTGCTCTCAGTATGCTTCTTCCCCCCAAGTCTTCTGGGGAGGCATTTGTTTAAACCAGTAATTGCAGGACAGTGGGATCATTGCCCATATAATGATGCATGTATAGGATGCCATGAGAGCACAGCGAAGAGTACCCAGATCAGAAAGGGGTTTGAGGTGGGCAGGGAATGTGTCATTGTAAACACTGACATTACAGTGAAATATGAAGCCTGATTTCCATCTGGCCTGATTTATTTCTAAAGTTAAGCTTCAGTGGTTATATGCCTGTGTGGTTCAGCTTGGTCCTATCTACTAAAGCTACACATATTTTGTGATGCAAAGGAACCGTTTTTCCATTCCTAGATTACAGGCCATTAATGATGAAAGGGCGCAAACAACTTATCTCAGTGGCACAATAAAACAAAGTGGCTAAAAGCAAAGCTACTTTTATTCCTAGCTTCAGTCAGCACTTAATGCTCGAAAGTCATCTCTAAATCTTTATTAAGACAGAGCTTAGAACCTGGCATCCTTCATTAAATAGGTTGTACCATTTTGAAATATAGAAAATTCAATATATGGATGGTTTGTCTATAAATATGCTGAATGTGTGTTTGTTAATTCATTGTCAGTCACGATATGCTAACACGCACAGTATTTTAAGCCATGAGCAAGAAAGATGGTTTTGTAGACATTGTGTAGGAAGGTTTCATTTTCATTATTTATTGTACCTGTCCCTACAAGTTAGTGGAAAAGGGAAAAACGAGTGTGGGGGAGCTGATGGGGTTTTATCTAGCGAGGCTACACAGGAGAGAACCTTCCTTCACTTCTGCCAGCTCCATACATTGTCCTCAGGCTTCAGTGGCCTCAGAAAGTCACCTGTTTGTAGCAGGTGTTCACTCTTGATAAAATGAGACTTGTTCAGGTAGTAGGTAGTGGTGGCAAATCCTTTGGATCACTTTTTCTGAGTAGGACTCTTGTCTAACTGATGATACACAAACTTCCGGCCAAAATGGAGGCATAGGTGGAAACACTGCCTTCTTGCGAAACCAAAATTAAGGACAACAAACATTTAGAAACAAAAACACAACCAGAACAGACAGAAAACTGAACTGTACAGAAGTCCAACAACCATTCATCCAGACCAATAAGAAGGGCGGAGAGGGGTCACGGCAGGAAAAAGCAGAAGCTGGCAAACCTGCCTGATCACCAGTGTTTTGAACTGTGCATCTGATAAGTTGGCTATCTCTTGGTTGCTTAAAAGTATTGGCTCTGGGGCTTTGATCTATTCTTCTGTTTCAGCCATGATTTTTGGTCTGGTCGTACTCAAGTGGCTCAGGGCTAGCAGACCCTGGATGTGGGAAGGAAACGAGCAGACCCAGAGAGGCGTGTGAGGCCACTGGCTGACTGCGTTCACACATTCATGTGCAGATAAATTAGGCAAAAACGAGCAGAGAGACAGACTGTGCAACCCAGGTTCCCAGCGATGGGAAATAAAGCCTAAAAGCACCGATTGAAAACACTTGTGGGGGTTGAGGTGCCAGGAGAGACTCCCAACCTCACAGGAGAGTTCGTTGGAGAGACCCACAGGGCCCTAGAACATACACAAGCCCACCCACCTGGGAACCAGCACCAGAAGGGCCCAATTTGCTTGTGGGAAGCGGCGTAAGGGACTGAAATATGAGTGCAGCAAATGTCATTGTTCCCTCTCTGACCCCGCCCCCACATACAGCATCACGACCCAGCAACTGGGCTGCCCCGTCCTCATGAACACCTAAGGCTCTGCTCCTTATACGTAACAGGCACGACCAGACCAAAAAATCATGGCTGAAACAGAAGAACAGATCAAAGCCCCAGAGCCAATACTTTTAAGCAACCAAGAGATAGCCAACTTATCAGATGCACAGTTCAAAACACTGGTGATCAGGATGCTCACAGAACTGGAGGATTTTAGTCACAAATTAGATGAAAAAAATGAAGGCTAAACTAATTGAAATGAAGGGAAATGCACAGGAAACCAATAGTGATGGAAAGGAAACTGGTACTCAAATGAAGGGGGTGGACCAGAGGAAGAAAAAAATGACTAAACAGAAAAGAATGAAGAAATAAGAATTCAAAAAAAATGAGGGAGGAGAGGCTTACAAACCTCCAGGACATCTTTAAACATTCCAACATCCGAATTATAGGGGTACCAGAAGGGGAAGAGGAAGAGCACCAAGTGGAAAAGTCATTTGAACAAATAATTAAGGAGAACTTCCCAAATCTGGCAAAGGCAATAGCCTTCCAGGAAATCTAGGAAGCTCAGAGTCCCAAAGAAGTTGGACCCAAGGAGGAACACACCAAGGCACACCATAATTACATTACCCAAGATTAAAGTGAAGGAGAAAATTCTAGAAAAAGCAAGAGATAAGGGGACAGTCACCTACAAAGGAGTTCTCATCAGACTGTCAGCTTATGTCTCAAAAGAGACCTTAGAGGCAAGAAGGGGCTGGAAAGAAGTATTCCAAGTCATGAAAGGCAAGATTGCTCTATCCAGCAAAACTTTCATTTAGAATGGAAGAGCAGATAAAGTGCTTCTCAGATAAGGTCAAGTTCAAGGAATTTGTCATCACCAAGCCCTTACTATATGAAATGTTAAAGGGACTTATATAAGAAAAAGAAGATAAAGAATATGAACAGTGAAAGGACAGCAAACTCAGTTATTAACAACCACACCTTAAACAAAAGCAAACTAAGCAGACACCTAAAACAGAAGCAGAACCACAGAAATGGAGATCACATGGAGGGTTAGCAACAGGGGAGTGAGAGGAGGAGAAGGGGGTAGAAAGTGCAGAGAATAAATAGCATAGACAGTGGGGAGAAAATAGGGGGAGGGCAAAAGTAGCGTGGGAAATGTAGAAGCTAAAGAACCTACAACACATGGACATGAACTAAAGGGGGGGAATGTGGGTGGGAGGGCGTGTGCAGGGTGGAGGGGAATGAAGGGAATGGGACAACTGTAATAGCATAATCAATAAAATATTTTTTAGACTTCCGCCAAGATGGAGGATTAAGGTGGATGTGCCTGCCTCCTCTCACAACCAAGTTTAAGGACAACTAAATATTAGCATCAGAAAACACAACCAGAACACGGAAAACTGAACTTTTCGGAAGTCCGCAAACAACAAATTCTCCGGCCCGGCTGGTAAGAGGCAAACCGGCGGCGGCGGGTTGAGGAGTTACAAAGGAGAACTCGTTCGACCCGGGCGCGGGCGCGGGACCCAGACGCGCGACTTTTCGGAAGTCCGCAAACAGCAAATTCTCCGGCCCGGCCGGTAAGAGGCAAACCGGCGGCGGCGGGTTGAGGAGTTACAAAGGAGAACTCGTTCGACCCGGGCGGGGGCGCGGGACTCAGACGCGCGACTTTTCGGAAGTCCGCAAACAGCAAATTCTCCGGCCCGGCCGGTAAGAGGCAAAACGGCGGCGGCGGGTTGAGGAGTTACAAAGGAGAGCTCGTTCGACCCGGGCGCGGGCGCGGGACCCAGACGCGCGACTTTTCGGAAGTCCGCAAACAGCAAATTCTCCGGCCCGGCTGGTAAGAGGCAAACCGGCGGCGGCGGTTTGAGGAGTTACAAAGGAGAGCTCGTTCGACCCGGGCGCGGGCGCGGGACCCAGACGCGCGACTTTTCGGAGGTCCGCAAACAGCAAATTCTCCGGCCCGGCCGGTAAGAGGCAAAACGGCGGCGGCGGGTTGAGGAGTTACAAAGGAGAACTCGTTCGACCCGGGTGCGGGCACGGAACCCAGACGCGCGAATCCAGACGCACGGGTTCCAAACCCAGGATTGGACCTAGTGAGCAGCCCACCGGGTGAGTGACTACGGAGGAGTCAGTGGGGAGGCAGTGGCAGCGAGTTGACTGTGGGTGCCCGGTTACGCGGGTGAGGGAGTGAGCGGGGACCGGCGGCGGCGCCATTTTCCCCCGCTCTGACCACGCCCCCACATACAGCGTCACAACCAAGCGACCTGGGACTCCAAGGCGCCGCTTCTCTCACTTAAAGGGCCAGAACAGACCAAAAATGTCGCAGGGGGACCTCAAAGTCCCGGAGATAAATCTAAGTGACGAAGAAATAGCAAATCTCTCAGACGCACAGTTTAAAACACTGGTCGTCAGCTTCCTCACAGATCTGGTGGACTATAGCCACAAATTAGAGAAACATATGAAGGCTAAATTAAGGGAAATGAATGGAATTCCACAGGAAACCCATAGAGATGAAAAAAAAACTGGGACTCAACTCAATGGAGTAAACCAGAAGGAAGAAAAAAATGATCAATCAGAAAGGAATGAAGAAATAAGAATTCAGAAAAATGAGGAGAAGCTTAGGAACTTCCAGGACATCTATAAACGCTCCAATATCCGAATTATAGGGGTACCAGAAGGGGGAAAGACACAACCACCAGTGGAAAAACTATTTGAACAAATAATAAAAGAAAATTTCCCCAATCTGGCAAAGGAAACAGACTTCCAAGAAATCCAAGAAGCCCAGAGAGTACCAAAAAAGTTGGACTCAAGAAGGAACACACCAAGGCATATCATAATTACATTAGCCAAAATTAAAACGAAGGAGAGAATCCTGGAAGCAGCAAGAGCTAAGGGGACAATCACCTACAAAGGAGTCCCCATCAGGCTGTCAGCAGATTTCTCAAAAGAGACCTTACAGGCAAGAAGGGGCTGGAAAGAAATATTCCAAGTCATGAAAACTAAAGACCTACAACCAAGATTGCTCTACCCAGCAAAACTTTCATTTAGAACGGAAGGACAGATAAGGTGCTTCTCAGATAAGACCAAATTCAAGGAGTTCATCATCACCAAGCCCTTATTATATGAAATGTTAAAGGGACTTATCTAAGAAAAAGAAGTTAAAGAAACATGAACAGTGAAAGGACAA